CACACAGTGAGGCTACACAGAGAAGATGCAATGACAGCCATTTACACAATAAGGGGAGAGGAGTGAATCAGCCCCGTGTTCAAGTAGAAAAGAGGCGGTTTTCAATAGACAGTAGAGTTTCATAATGCTACCCCATTACATTATAATTTCCAGGAGACATTTTTCTTTCAATATTCAGAGCATAGTTGACTTTGAAATTTCTTAAAGGTTTTTAGAAAAACAACTAGAGGTTCTTGGATTCCAGATAGAGAGATAAAACCAATTTTGTTTGGGCTTTGGAGTCACAGATTTGGCAGGGGGGCTTCTAGCATGTTCTGTAGGAAGGATAAGATGATACTGATACATATGTAGGAAGCCTGAGCAAGGAAATTGGCCAAGGAGTGACAGAGTGAGTGAAGTTGTTAATTTAGATTGAAGAAATTGTTTATAAGCTGGAAAGATGGTTAGATAGTACAAGTAAGAAACAACAGATTAGCCTCAGGGATGACTATGTCTTGCAGTTTGTGATGACTTATTAGGATGCTGAAGATTTGTTATCAGCCGGGACAAGATGACATTTTGGTTTGGAAGAAAAACAAATGACCCAAAATAAGTAGCATGTAAAATAGAAAGGCAGAACATTCAGATTCAGGTACTGAGTACCCAATTAAAAAATTTCCCCGGAACTTGCTGGATTGGGGGTTTAGATAGTTGCTGTTGTTCAATTCCATGAGGTCAAACTTGGAATAACTGTTATAGCACATGCTAAAGACAAAAGACACATCCTCAAGCCAGGTCCAGTCATCATTAAGTCATTCAGGAAAAATGAGCAGAGAGTGTGCAATGGCTTTAGTAACTATGTACATAGCTGCTTAAGTAAGAAGCATGGGTAGGAACACTGCTGAGGATGACTTGCATAGTGATAAAGAAGAGGAAACCATGGGTAGAGCAACTATACCAACCAGCCAGAGCTCCCAGGGTCTAAATCACCAGCCTGGGAGCACAGAGGGAGGGACCCATGGCTCCAGATATATATATATATATATATATATATGGGAGTATGGCCTTGTTGGACATAGGTGGGAGATGAAGTCCTTGGTCCAATGAAGGCTGGATGCTCTAGTGTGGAGGAATTCGAAGGCAGGGAGGTGGGAGTGGGTGGGTGGAGGCACATCCTTATAGAAGCAGGAGGAAGGGGGATGGGATAGGGAGTTTCTGGGTGGGGGAGAAATGGGGAAAGGGAATAACATCTGAAATGTAAATAAAATATCTAATAATAAAAAGAAGAGGAAACCCAGGTTGTGAGAAGATTAGAGCTCAGAGAGAAAGCCAAGGTGAAGGAATCAATAAAGACACAAGTCTGATGATTTAAGCAAAAGAGAGTGCTGTGCCTGAAGACTGCTCCAGAATAAGATTAACTACTACTGTTAAGAGATTAGCCTAGAGAGAAGAGAAAACTTTCTCAGACCAAAATGCAAAGAAAGAGAAAAAGGAAGAGAATTTTAAGAACTCTATATGTAACACTCAGGGACTTGCTCAGAAAACGAATGGTTTTGCCAACTTTTAGAGGATAGGAGATTCATAGTAATAAAGTAAAGCACTAACTCCTATTGTAAAAGATGTAATAGCAGTGGCAGGGTTATCCCTTGAAAGGATGCATTTTGTCACACCAGAGGCCACTCAAGAGCAAAGAGCATAAGAACTAGTGTGCTCGAGACCTCTTGCATGAAAGCTTAGTTACTCAGTGTTATCTAAGTTCGGATGACGTCATTCTTTTACAGCCTTTACAGGATAAGGCACTACACCTTGGGTATAAAATCTGACTTGGAATAGTTTTAAAATCTTGTAATTTCATATCATTTAAAAATAGCACTTCATATTGAATTTGACTACAGGAAAAATTGATTTATTTTAAGAATGCTGTCTTAAAATTATGGAAAAGCTGGCTAACGGGCCTGTGGGTACATCAATCCCATCACCGCTAAAAATTACTTGTTAATATATGGGCCCATTCACAATGACTATTAACTGGACTTATGAAAATGGATAAAGCCATCAGTATCATTCTTTCAATTACTCATGCCTAAAGTAAGTACTTTACAGTCTTAAAGATGCCCAAACATATGCTATATGGTAAGGACTTTCTGCTTAAGAATGATAAATGATCTTTCTTTTAAAAGGCTTTTATGAGAAACAGGCAGATTTTCATTTTTACAATGAGGAAATGTTATGTCAGAGGAATTAAAGTGAACAGAATTTAATAGATAGGATGATAGATGAAATTTGATAGAAGCCTGAGGAGTGGAAATGCTGACTAGGGGGACAACAACTGCTTAAGCTGCAGGTCTCTTGGTTCTTCATTCCAGATGTTGCCTGCTTCAGTGAGAAGCCTCCAGAGTCCTAGAAAACTATTTTCAGGGTCAGAATAGCAAATGGATACACATATGGAGCACTCAGTGAGTGCCTTTTAAATTGGACAACTGAATCTCAGTTCTAATCATTAGTACCCCCAGGAGTTAGAGGGCCAACCTCAAAAGGCAAGTTTCCAGTATCTAATGAAGCACAGTTTAGAGAACTGTGACTTAGGGCATACTATGCACTCAATCTCATACTAATTGCTTTATAAGATCTTCTCAATAATAAGTTAGGGACTGTTAAGCCATTTCTACAGATGATAACACTTAGGCTCATCAAATTTGCTTAGGTTTTTCCGGTTCAAGCAATCTGTAAGCTGTGACAATGAAGCCCAACCTCTATCCTCTAGCTTCAGACGACACACAGTCTCTGTTACACTTTTGCTCTCTAGGATGATAATGGCTTCAGGTAAGAGAAAAATCAAATCCACCAGAGAAGACGGAAGAGAAGGAAAGAAGATATATATCAGAGTGGAGATGAGTACCTTAAGGAGAAAGGGTTCCATAGAGAGATTGGAATTCATGTAATGGATGCTTAGTTTGTGTTTCTCTTTGGAAAGTCATTGACTGCTCATACACTAAAAGCTACCCAGGGTTGGCTTGTATCTGAAGATTAGAAGGCAGTGATGTATAACTCGGAAGGGGATATTTGCTATTAAGTATATTTGGATGGGAATAGAATTGATAAAAAGAGATTTGAGAGGCAAGATACTTGAATTTTGGTTCTTATTCTGCTATTGCTTCTTGGTGGTTTTTAGATCAATTGTACCCTTTTTGTGTCAATTTTCTCTTCTTTTTCTGTTTTTAGTTGAAAATTTAATACATTTATATCATCCATCTTCATCTTATCTACCCTTCACATGCCTTCCGACCCCATGTCTTCTCTTAAAATTTCATATATATTTATATGGATATGGAATCATCTAGTGAGACATGAAGAATCTACCAATGGCCATACTTCCAAACAAACCCAGAACAAAACCAACCAACCAAACAACCAACCAACCAGCCAAGAAACCAACTAACCAATCAAACAAACAAACAAAAACCTGGTGACCTTCTTTTCTTCAGCAGTAATCAACTAGTTGAACTTTTTAACTGACTTGATTGTGTCTACTGTGAATACATATGTGCAGCAGCCATAGCATGTCCAGGGAGTAGTATTTCCAGTTGCAAAACAATGTGTGTTCAACTACATAATTGTCCAGTGTTATCTTTGATGCAATTCCCATTGTTAGAGGCAGCCAAGAATTTCTAAAATGCCTAAATTGAAACTCTAAACTGCAACTTTGATCTTCATTATTACCAAACATACAGCTACACATCAATTTCCAGCAAAACATTGACGATAAACTCTGTAGCCTTCCTTTACTTTTCAAAGGGCTTATCAAGGTAATTCCAAAGCTTTATGTAAGTCACAATTTAGTTACATTGTTTTGTAAAAGTAGAAGTAAAATTTGAAATGTAGCTTAAAATTTTAATTATTACGCCTTCAGTTACATAAAGAGTAATAATAGACCTCTATAAACGTTTATAATATCTTTATGACTTAGTAAACAAGCAAAATAAAATGAAAGACCCATTATGGCATAAAACATTGCTGATCTAAGACAAAGATAATATTATCTTTCTACTTGAATCTTGAACCAAACAACAGAGTGTGATACAGAAAGCAACTGATATAAATTGGAGATAGCCCAAATAAATAAAGATATATCGTATTCATGAGTTGCAAAGCTGTATAATTTTATGATATTAATTCTTCCCATACTAATCAGTTGACTCAGCACGTCCCCTAATAGATTTTCTTGTGATAGATGGAACATATTAGTTCTAAAACTTATAGGAACCTGAAAAGAATGGCAAATTTGAAGCAACTTGAAATATAAATATAAGATAAAAGAACATATGCACATTGCATTCATGACTTGGCTCTGAGCCACCTGAATTAAAAGTGGGTGACCCCATTTAGGGATAAATAAATAGCCAAGTGTGCCACATCTGAGTGTATAAAATCCACCTGAATATTAGATCAATGCTATCAGCACAATTCAATGATGAAAATTCATTTTCAACAAATTATCCTCGAATAAATTAGAGAACTCTAGAGAAAATTCAACCACCACCTATAGCTCTAGCAAAATGTCTCAAAATAGTTTAGTATGAATCATAGACTTAAATATAGACACAAAGATATAAAAAAATGGAAATAAAAATACTATGATTTTTTCCAAAATATCCCAAATTTTCCAATTTCTCCAAGATCTGTTTTGTTTTCTTTCATAATTAACTATACACTCAAAAATCTGTTCCAGTTCTGTCCTGCTAGCTTTGAGATAATCATGCAATTGATTAAATCTATTCACAATAATAAATTTTACTACTTTGTGTATTATCTGATGGTCCAGAAAGAACTTCTCACTTACACTTGATGGGCCACGTTGTCTACATTAAGCTCAGATAGACAACGATAGTTTTTCTAGCAAAAGATATTTGCTAAAGCTACATATATAAGCAGTTCTCTTCCTTACTTCACTCACTTCTACATACTTTTAGAAAGAGAATATAAACCAGCGACATAAAACAAGGCAATAGGAACATATTTACCGTAGTCCATAGAGAACAGTTCCATCAGGATGCAGCCTGATCATTCGGTTTTTCACTGTAACCCCATGCACAAATGATTTCTTGTCATTGAGAAAGTAGGTGTCTGGTACCCAGAGTTGGTCAGCTACTCTGTTGTCAAGGGTCAGATTTAATGGGATTCCAGAATATGAAAGTCTCTTGTCCTTCCAAGACTGCTGGAAATACATGGTGAGTGTATAATCCTGTGAAAAAAAAAAACCAAATAGGAATTTTACCATCACCAGCATTTCAGGACCTTGGTTGAGAATCCAAATACACAGGGTCAGCAAGAAGGTTCTGAGGGTAAAAAATGCTTGTAGCACAAACCTGAAAGGCTGAGTTCATTTTCTGAAACTCATGTAAAGGTGCAAAAGGAGAACAAACTCCACAAAGTTATCTTTTTAACTACACATATGTGCTATAGGACACATGTTCCCTGATACAACATCATATACACAAACACCAATATGAAGTGAAATGATAAATCTTATAAAAATAATCTATGCATATGGAATTGTGGATGCCTAGAGTCCCTTCCCATGTTCCCCAAAAGATATATTTGAATACTTAGAAATTTATAGCTCTAAGCACAGAGCAATATATATTTTCGAAGTCCTGGGCATTGCCTTACTGGGTATAAATAGTTCATCAAGAGAGAGCAAATATATGTAGTTCGATTTTAAGGTTGAAATTTATGGCAATAATTCCACGGGGAAATTCAAAAGGAAAAACATTGCAAGACACCCAACAAAAATATTCACCCTGGATATCATGGTTTCAGTTTTATTTCACATTTGATCTACGTTAAAATATGTGCTCTTAAAAAAGAGCATTTTCAAACCACAACAACTTTTGGGTGACTAGTGCACTATTTAACTCTTGAATGTTACCAGTTGCCTTTCTCTAGATATTCATAGCGACCTACAACTTGTCTGTGTGTCCTGAAGAGCTGTTATAATTCATATATAGATGAAGATAATTATGTAGCCTGAAGACAACGTTGTTATCTCTGTTCCATGTGAAGAATGGATTTGGGTTGAATTGGATTTAATCTTAACACTATGTTTTCCTACACTCTGTAAAAGCTTACAATGAGGACATCTGACCACACTTTTCTCTGTCAATGCATGACAGAAATATCTGGCCTCAGTCTGCGTAGACTCCTACAGGAGGATGGTGATCAGTACCAACCATAGCTCTTTAGCTATTGTCTCATTTTAAAGAACTCTAAAACGAATGTATAACTGGCTATTATAAGAAAATAAGTTTGGAACAGTAAAATCATGAAGTATTTCAGGTGTAAATTCTAACATAATAAAAATCAGTGATTGTGAATACTCTACCGATGATCAACCTACTGTACACCATATGTGTACTGGCTTTGGTAGTGAAATGGAAGGTCACTGACTTGAATGATGAGGCTTTTATCTGGTCATCCCCTGTAGAGGCTCCAATATATAATGACATATTTCTGAAAAATACTAAATCTTAAGACAATACTGACCCCAGATAACCAGTTTCATCACCTTTAAACAATGTAGTCAGATCCACTGTCACAATTTACTCAGAAACCATCTTGCATTCATTCAGAGGCATTCCTCCTTGTTCAAGGCAATGATGTCTAATCTTCCATTCTAGGCATACACAGAAGCTTTGAACAGCCTGAAACAGTAGCTTACTTTCATATGTAGATGAACTCACTGCCTCCCACCCCCACATATACTGTCTTGACTTCAATAAGTCTCTCCAATAAGTAAGATTTTAGGGTACAATCTTAGAGTATAAAAAGGCATAATCTTGAAAATTAGGAGAATAGATTTAAAATGTTCTCACCATGAAAGTATAAGTATGTGAAATAATACTTATGGTAATTATTCAGTTTATCCACCTAAAATATATACATTTTTAAAAATATCATGTCATTCATGATAAGTATATTTAACATTTATCAATAAATATATCAATGTGGAATGTTGTAATTAAAATATATTTGTAGTAAGTAAACAACAGGGAGTTAATTAATGTTACTATAAAGGATATAAATAGGTAACCTTCAGGAAGGTGAATATGTGTGCACGTCTATGTGTGAATATGTGAGTGCGTACATGAATGCGTATTATGTGTTTCTGTGTCCTCACCCTTCCACCCTTTGGTGGCTCTTTTATTTTCAGTGGAGAAGTAAGAAACTGTACGCATCTAGTGAGAGCTGTGCTATACATAACTCAGTCTGTTTTAAATAAATATTGAATGAAAATTACATCACTTATCTAAGTTAGGCAATGACATCCCCAATTGGTAGTAAGAAATAATTTAAGGCAAACCCTGTGTGCTGATATATTACATTGATGAGTGACTGGAACAAGCCCTCCTTAAATCTTGTATTTCCAAACATTTCTCAAGTTAGTAGCCTGAATTGGGACCTCATATTATGATAAAAAGAAATGTCAATAGGTCATATTAATAACCACAATGATCATATCAATATGGTGAACCATATAGGGAGACCTAAAGTATAACATTATCTACTTTTTCTTCCCTCTCTATGATGCGGCACACAATATAATATCCTCTTTTTTCCCGAGCTGAGATCTGTTTTCCCCAGCTCTCTTCTATCCATTACAACCATAATAAAACTTACAACCATATCTGGACATATATGTTACTTTTAGATAAAAAAAAATGCAGAAGATTGCTGTCCTTTGTTCTACCACCCATTTTTTTTTCTTTCTATTAAGTTTTCGGTGATTCAAAATGCGAGTGCTCTAAAGAGTTTTGAAATTTCAGGAAGAAATTCTTGCTTTTGGCCCAGAACATTGGAAGAATTCTACTTTCAGGTATGAATCTGGCAGTATTACAGTCATTCATCTGGCTGTCTGAGCTATGAAAGCTGCTCCTCAGGGGAAGTGTGATATTGATAGAAACTACAGGCCAAAGGGGATTCTCTGACACTGAGGAAATGGGATTAGTGAGTGTGAGATTGCTAATGAAATTGGTCAAGCTAATTGAAGCATAAAAGAATTTGATTCATTGAAAGAGAGAGCATATCAAATCAGGAACACTCAAAGACTGTTCACGGAAGAAATTGTATTAACTTTTTTTCCTTTCTGAAGAAGAAAATACATGTCTAAATTTAGATCTATAGTTTTAAAGTCATGAAGATTTTGCTTTAAATAATACCTTTTTGGTGACATCTGAAGAGCTGTCTGGGTGATGGTACTAGCCTCTGTGAGGAGATGACAAGACTTCTTGTGACTGCACTGCTATGCACGTCACAGCCCCCACGACAAAGAATTGGCTGCTTCAAAATATTCACAGTTGAAAACCTCTCTTCCATCATCAAGATTGAGAAATCCTGCCTTCAACGTAAATACTTCAGAGTCCTGCATCACTGTTACAGAAATATCTGAGCTTTTAACATATTTTACCATTTTTTTGCTAAAGAATCCTAACACAAAATTTGCTATTTTGCCATAGTGGGGTATACCAGTTACTTGAAGGTATTATTACAGGTCTTCCTGAGGGCCTGGAAAAGTGGGAGTGCCTTATTACTTGCTTGTGTCAATAGCACATGCCTCAGACAATGTTAGCAGAGACAATATATTGCTTTAATATCTAATAATATTGGTTCCAGAAGGATTTAAGAAAAAATTCTCCCTCTTCTAAACTGTTCTAAAATAAAAGCTGTATTCTGAGAAAGAATCAAGGCTCTTTTTCAAACCATACTTTCATCTATTTTAATACATGCGGCAAGAGGTTCTAAGTAAAATCCCTGTTCTGTATAAAACATTCATGACAGTTTAGTAGAACTCTGAGATCTGTTCCTTCCAAAGCTATGTTTACTTTTCCTGACAGGTTGGTTATTGTTAAGCTCTACACGATTACCTCCCGCTGCAGCTCCTAGCAGTATTTTGGCTAAAGCTCCAGCTGACAGAGCGTTTCCTACCTATAGCTCCTAACAAGACAGTGAGGTTTCCTACCTACAGCTCCTAAAAAAATGGAAAGTGTTGTATCTATAGCTCCTGATGATGGAGAGTATCCTACCTACAGCCCTTCTGATGGAAACTATCCCATGTACAATCCTGCTGATAGAGAGTGCATCACCTACAGATCTTTGCATGTTGGAAAGTTTCCTACTCACCGTCCTGCTGATCAACACTATACTGTCTACAGCTCTTAGTATAATGGGGAGTATCACAACTAAAGTTCTTGCTGATGGTGAGTATTCTATCTACAGCTACAGCTGGTGAATCACAGGCAAACTCTATATTACTTGGCTGTATGTTTCTCCAGGTTCAAGAATAAAGGTTAGATAGCATCTGTTTCACATACGTACCATAAACATATGCCCGACTCAAAAAGAAGAGATGGAGTTCATAAAGAATTTATTACTTAGCAAAAGTCTATGACACATACTCAGTGAGACTGAGTTCAAAGGTCATGGCAAATAATTAAGAGTGCATTGTTGTATAAAGCCAGGTTATAAAAAGGGAAGCAAAGAAAGTTTAAAGGCAGAGGTCATTGTTAGATAATGAATGAGAAAATGCATAATGGTTTTCTATTTCTTTCTACTTCTCTGGTTTGGTGTATCTTTAATATATCTTCTGCTTATGATCTCATTGTATCATATGTAATATTATACTCCCTTGGCTACACTGACTAAATTTTTATATTTTACAACCAGAAAAAAATAATGATGTGACTAGATCATTATATGTATATGCATGTGTGTGTGTGTGTGTGTGTGTGTATGTGTGTGTGTGTGTGTGTGTGTGTATCAAATGAAACATTAAATTACCTGACATTACAGTTAATTTACTTGTACAGAGGAAATGCTATGAGCAGCCTGAGAACCACAGGTGTTAAATGATTTTCAAGTAAAGGCCACATGTTTTGGATTAGTTTGGCTTATTAACCAGAGAAACTCAGAGAGAGCAAGCACACATAATTTGTATCAAGGCAATTTTCTTTGAACAAAAAAAGAAAACTACCCAGAAAAGTCACCTGGAGACCAGCTGGTAACAATCAGCACACTGTACAATGATAAGGAAAAAAAAAGAGAGAAACCCATTACTTGTGTCCTACAAAAATAAATTCAATGATTGCCTGATAAGTCAATTTAAACTATAGTAAAAATGAATCAGAAAAGACTTGATTCTAATGAAATATCCCACTTATGTGAATAATTTGTCTAGTAGTAGGAAAG